CATATACTGTATGCACTTCCATAATAATATCAAGAGTCCATAACCCAAGAGTATGCAACTGTGATTATGGGGGCATGCGTGGCGCGCTGCCTTCATTGCGTAACTTGCCTTCATCACGCTCTGAAAGCATGCATTCAAACTCTCAATTTCTCGCACGAGCCCATCCGTTTTTGCTCGATTCGTTCCAGTACCTACACAATCTCTGAATTCTGGCGCGTGAACTCCAGTTCCGTACGAAAGTTCATTTCAAACTAGAGGGAAAGTGCGGTGTTTGATTTTCCGCAGTGCGCGGACTGCAGCTGAATGATGTAATGAAGGCAGCGCGCCGCGCGGTTGGCCCATAGAAAAGAGATCACAGTTGCATACTCTTGGGTTATGGACTCTTGATAATATTTTACGGGGTTTGCTGCAAGAACCATTTGTGTGAGAGAAGTCATACATGTATATGAAGGTTTGCACCACATAGTCCTTACCTGTCTCCGTGTGCTTACTAATTCACAAGCTGCGATAGAAAGACAAACCTTTGTTCATGGCTACTGGATTACTAGTACAGTGGCCCCTCTATAATCCAGCACCATTTGTGCCACGGAAAATCTGCTGGATTGGGGAGGGTGCTGGATTAACGAATCGGATTTACTGCTGCAATATGCATGAAGAGGACATTTTGGCTGCTGAAATAGTGCCGGTTTATCGAGGGTGCTGGCTTATAAAGTCCTTGATTAGAGAGGGACGACTATATTGTGCCGGTGCTAGTGCAGCTGCACCTTTCAGTAGAGTTTGGACACGACCAACTCCCAATCAGACTAGCATCTTCTTTCTGGCATGCAAAAGCAGCAGCGCCATTGCATTATCCACAATGGCCGTATTTAGTAAACTTTAGGCTGCGTTTACACGACAACGCACGGCCAGTTTTCCGTTTCCAGTCCCACATTTCTTTTTTTCGTTTTTGTGCGTTTACACGATCAAAGCTGGTCCGAGGTGGTCTCCGTTTGTAACGCTTTCGCGTGTCTACACGGGAGCAAAGGATCCGCCAAAGTTTGTCATGCGCCAAGTGTTGTCATGGAAGCACTAATCGCACTCAAGTGCTAGTACCGTAAAGTACCGCCAGAGCGCCCCGTCTCGCGAGAGCGCCCCACCTTGATTTTACAGCCAGGGAAAGGAAAATCGTATGGCAGAGTGCAACGAAGTTTGTACGGTGTGAGAATCTTACAAAATTTTAGTGTACTAAGGTCAAGCTTGGCAAGGTTTTGTGTGGAGCTTGTGTCCGCTCGAAGGTACGGATTGACTGCAAAACGTGCAATATTTGTACAAGGTTCATGTCGTATGACCTACAGACAGCAGACCACCTCCACAATACGACCACGAAAGGATGAGATGGTGGGGCGCTCTGGCGGTACTTTACGGTAATAGTTGAAAACAGGTCTCACAACAATACTTCTCACATGATGAACATTTTAAAAACAATTTTGATTGTCGGATTCGTGTGTGAACGGGCGAAAACGAAACAAACATGACGGAAACGAGGCCTAGCACACCGTTTTTATTGTTCACACATCCAAATTTATCCGGCAGAACATTTCCGTTCTCAAATTCTTCCACCTTGGCCAGCGTTTTGGTTTTCTTCCATTTTGGCGTACAACTTTTACATTTTGCTCCGTGTACCGTGTAAATGAACCATGCATCCGAAAGGATTTTGTTGCGTTTTCACCCCCAGCGCTGTCATGTAAACGCGGCCTTAGACACTGTTTTTCTTTTTCTTTTTTTCTTATTAATTTATGGTGGATGATGTAAATGTACCAGCATTGAAAAATAGTGCCCTCTCTTGAATAGTGCCCCATCTGTGATGAGCTTTGAAAGAATAGTGCCCCCGGGGCACTAGTCATGAGTACGGTATCCGAAGCGGACGGCTGTTGGAGATGGAAACTCCAGTGATGGAATCTTCGTTTTTACTTTCATTTGTTCTTTCTATGGTCACTCCTTGGGTTTGCGCTGCTGCTGTGAAGTGCTTACTATTTGGGCATTGAAGGAGGATAAATACAGCAGAATTCCCCTCATCCGTGCATGTTGGGACCGGGCACTGCCCGTAACTAGGGATTGCCCGCAACTCAGAACATTCACATTCTGATTGCATGCAAGTTAGCACTTTTTTATGCCAATCGATTTTTTTGTTGATGCCGTTTTTCGTTAGAATACCCATTTTTGTGACACTAGAGGGGTCAGAAGGGTGCCTGGTAGACGGGAGTGTATGGATCAGGGGAGTTTTCCTGTAATGTCTTGCATGTTATAATGAATATTGCTTGCTGTTCCAAAGTTGTTGGCACAGAAATTATCACTGATAGTGTCGCAGAGGTTTAGTTGTTCCATCTGATAATAACAGTGATTTATTGTGCTTTGCGTTTGACCCTGCCAGGACCACTGGCCGGAGATGAGTATGAAGAGGAGCAGGAGCTATTCATTGCAGGCCCCAACAACACGCAGGCACCACCATCGGTGCGCAGATTCAAGGTTCCCCACTATGCCACCGGCCCGCTGGACTTCCTCACCTTGTCCTTCTACACGATGGTGTGGGTTGTTGTCCATGCCGTCTTCAAGGAGTACCTCTGGGATGTAGGTTTGCCCGTGATATAGCGCATCTCCCCCCTGTCTATATGTATCTAGTAGCTGCCTATTATTGTCCTCTTCGAACTGCGCTCACATGTGTATACCGTAAAGTCTCGATGGTCCGGTCCGTCTCTAATTTCCGCACCTTGTCGAGTTTCTACCTGTGAAACTACTTCTGCGTATACTTCGAAATACGGTGTTGAACCGGCGCATGCACTGCTGGACGCAATACGTGCTGGTGCAGGCATGCCTGTGGCTCCTAGTGGGTGCAATCCAGCACGTCGAGTCTGACCTTCTGCGTTGTTGTACATCGTGCTACACTTGACTTGATCTAATTCCCACCCCCTGCTGAAAAACCAGCTTGGAAGCGACATGGTGGGGCGGGGGGTGTCAACAGTACATTACGGTACATGCTTGTGTGTGTAGGAGTTAATGCGGGAGTCTGCTCAGTTTTGCCCATGATGGATTTTTTGTTGTTGACGTCAGCTTTTCCAGAGATCTTTAGTCATCGCATACGCGTACAGATTTGGGGTTCACAACTTAGAATCATTTACACCATAATTTTCACCAGCCATACTTTCTAAAGCCGGTAGCGAATCCCTACTTTGAAAGCTGAGAGCAGGTGTTCCAAGATCCAAACAAACACGCCGAGTCGAGTGCCTTCTACTGTAAGTCGACAAATTTTCGGCCCATCCAAATTTCGGCCTCCCATGGCTAAAACCCATTTCGGCCGCATCAAATTTTCGGCCTGTACTGCTGCCACCTGTATACACTGTCACACTGAACCTTGCAAAACAAAATCTTGGCCGCAAATTTCGGCCAAACATGACCGGGCCGAAAATAGCCGAAAATAAATATGCGCTGAATATTTGTAGACTAACAGTTTGCAGTCACACAGTGCAGCGTTGTGATGGGAGGGTGCATGCAGGATTGTGCTCAGCGGTGTGAAGGGAGGTGGTGAGGGAGTGGCAAAGATAGATACAGCGCCCAGAGAGTAACCTGCATGTGCATCCTCCCACGATAACCACCACCTAGGCGACAACAGCACACACTGATTTAGTGGAGCGCTGATTATCACCACTCACTCCGAATACCTGGATACATTCTCTTGTTATCACACCCTGAGTAGCATCCCTATCCTAAGTGGCTTGTCCTCCGCTCTGTGCCCTGCACATTGAGCACTATGACAGCAGTTGCTGCTACCTTCTTTTTATGTCAATTACATACACTCTGCATGTACTCTGTATGTACTCTGCATGTACTCTGCATGTACTCTGCATGTACTCTGCATTTGCTGTGACTGTACTAACTTGCTAGTACTACCGGCTGTGTTATGGTGCAGCTATTGTGAACTATAGTGAGGGCTTTTGTATTATGAACTCACCCAACACTTGTTTGGAAGCTTCTCAGCCTGGCGCTAAATGGGGAACAATGAAATGCAGGCTTGTGTCAGCCATGCACGCTGTTGACTTTGTTTTTGTTGGTTTGTTGTGATCAGCGTTTCCACAAGCCGCTGCGCCTGTCCAAGGCCAAGACCAGTGTGTATTATGAGAGCTTCAACCTTGTCACCTACTACTTGATTGCTGTCGTCTGGGCATTCTACGTTGCTGGCAAGGTGAGCATGGTATGATGGTGACGGTGGTGGTGGCGCTGCTGCTGCTGCAGTAGTGAGTCTTGTGTGTGTGTGTGTGTGTGTGTCTGTGTGTGTGTGTGTGTGTGTGTATCTGTGTGTGTGTGTGTGTATCTGCATTTATGAGCTACCCAAGTAGTGCATGCAAACTGTGCTAGTAATGTACTCCTGCCAATACGACGTGATTTAACATATCGGTCATTCCTGGCATTTCTGAGCATTCCTTAGTGAACTGTTAATGATTGCTATTGGACATGGCCCGGGCCCAGTCACATGTCCAACTAGCACAGAAGTGCAGCATAATATGCTCTCTGCCAATGCTTTCCCGTCTTTTTGTTGGGGTGTATGTGTGCATTTGTGTGTGTCTGTGTGTGCGTGTGCGTGCGCTATACCAGGAACGGTTGCTGACAGATGTCGAGCTCTACTGGAGAGACTATCCTCATCTCAACATGACGTGAGTGCGGCTTAGTCTAGGCCTACCACGTGAGCTGTACAATGTCAATGTAGTAGCCATGTCATATGCTATCCTCTAGTCCAGTATGTCCAGCTGTAAGATGGGTACCAGGCAGGCGGGAGTTGTGTAGCTTCCGTTTGTGTACAGTCATTCATACCTGTACGAGTACATCCTGGCAGAACAGTTGACGTGTGCCTTGTGATGACCAGCAGTTGCTGTTGGCTGCGTCCTTCTTGGCCTGCTTCATGGCGTTGACTTTCTCGGCACCTTGAACGGCGTGTTGTGAGACTCCTGCATTATCATAATTATGACAGGTGCCTGTCTCAACTCATCTTTGTGTTGTTTGGTGTCTGCTCTTTCCTATTTGTTCAGTTTCAGAATGAAGGTGTTCCTTCTCATTCAGGTATGGTACCTGCCTACTGTTGTGTACACCATATCCCTTTTTCTACTACGGAGGTACCTCTTTCTATAAATAGTCATCTCGGTGAAAGAAGTTTCAATATGGCTTGAAAAGAAGACCCTTGATTGAGCAAAAACTTGCCAAAACGTTTGTGGCAAGAGTGCCTCTTCGTCTTTGCCTTGATTTCTTTTGTTGTCGTCAATTGAACAGGCAAAAACTCCTTTTGTAATGGATGAGTCCGACTTTTCTCTCTGCAATTTTTCCCCGGTGTGTCACCGTGTGTAGTGTGAAGCTGATCATCCTGATCGTACTCAATGGCTGTGTGGCTGTACATTGCGTACATTCTCTGTGTGTCTGTACTCTCTCTCTCTCTCTCTCTCTCTCTCTTTCTCTCTCTCTCTCTCTCTCTCTCTCTCTCTCTCTCTCTCTCTCTTTTTCTCTCTCTCTCTCTCTCTCTCTCTCCTCTCTCTCTCTCTCTCTCTCTCTCTCTCTCTCTCTCTCTCTCTCTCTCTCTCTCTCTCTCTGTTTGTATTGTAGATTGGCTACTGGCTGCACAACATCCCAGAGCTGTATTTCATGAAAGCAAAGCGGGTAAGCAGAGGCAGCAAGGCTAGCTGCCTCTATGCAGTTGTATTTATTTGTGTGTGTGTGCGTGTGTGTGTGTGTGTGTGTGTGCGTGTGTGTGTGTGTGTGTGTGTGTGGTGGTGGTGGTGTGTGTGTGCATGTGTGTGCGTGTGTATTGAGCACATGACAATATCCAAAAAAAGTTGAAAGAAAGTTCAGTACTTGCATGACATTATGGCAGAACGAACAAGGCAGAAACAAACATTCCTAATATTGTGCAGCTGTTACGTTGCCGGTGTTGTGTGCAGTGTGCAATGTGCTGTGTAGTACTCTTGATAGAAGCCACAAACCCAGTATGCCCAGTATTCATGGACAAAAGTTGGCTGTGATTTGTGCAACAGCCGTGTGGGCAAGGGTATTCGCCAGAATTGTGTTTTCTCCGCAGCACTACTGGCTTGGCGTAGTTATTGAGTCTGAGTTCGCATTCCCTCATTTTTTCTCGATTCTACTGCCACATTAGGATCATCTTGGCAGAACTGTGGCGAGTGGGTGATCGTGTGGTGTTCTATTGTTGCGCGATCCAACTAAAGTGTAACCTGTCTAAGACGACCGACCGCTCAGGGGACCTTCGAAATGTGGTCTCTGTTACCAGGTGCTCTCCTTATCCAGGGTCAATTGACTGGATATAGCATCCATTGCAGGGCATGCGCTAAGGATTAAAATATGCTCTGACACAATGTCCTGCCAGTTGCAAAAATGGCCGGACATGTCCGGACATGCAACTTTCACATCAAATCACACAATGTTCAGTGTAGAATTAATACCATCGAAATGTTATCACGACGATGCATTTCAGAAGCAGCATGATCTTTGAAGGCTGACGTTTTCAGGTTCCTTGAGCCAACGACGAAGGAGTCAGAAAAATTCTTGCTGCTGCGAATTTTATCAACAAAACGAGAACACATCTTACACTTCAAAATTTCGACAACGCTACGATCTGAGGGACTGCGCTCATAGCTCAGCCAAACAGAAGTTGAAAGCTCCCTATCATACTCGGCGACCCACTTGTCACAAGTGGTCGTCTTGACTCCTCTGGGCTTCTTTCCAAGAGGAGCACCCGCATCAGCGGTGCTTGGCTTTCTCTTGCCAGACGACATCACTAATGACTATGAGACAAAGGATCGAAGTGCCTTTTTCTTTTTTTGTACTTTGCAAAAAGGCGCGCGGACACTTTGCCCGGATATGTACAAAACATCCGGAAACTGACCGTAAACGGTCGGAAATTGTCCGATGTCCGACCGTTATTTCGCGCCCTGCATTGGTCTTGGTTCCAGTGGTCAGACAGGTGGTTGCCTTATCTGACTGATCGCCCTGGCTAGTTTTACTGTACAATGAAAAAGTTAAACACAGCCCTTATAGCTTTTGTTGTATTTCAATGCTGGTTTTGGCTTTCGTCCTTGTGTGTTACCCTACTTCCTCCTTGTTGGTGTCTTGCTGTGTGCTTGCAGGATGAGATCTCTGCACAGATCCAGGTGTACATTTTCAATGTCATTCCGCTGATCATCATGTATTGCCTGCAGTAAGTAGTATTTCAAGTTATTTCACATGTCGTCTCTCTGTTCAAAATAGTTTGGGAGTCGCCTATTGCTTGTTGCCGGTCTTCACCTTTGCCATACCCGTACTTGGCGATGGAACTACCCAATTGACGTGTTTGATGTACATGTAGCCTGCTTCTTGACAGCCTGCTGCATAGCATGGGTATGAGAGCTGACTCACTTAGTGCTGGGACTAGGGTTGCAAGTGTCACATGTTCACGTTGACATCCACCAATGACTCTGTGCCCCATGGGCCCAGTGAGCTGTACACAGTTTTTTTGGTGTTGGGGAACAGCTGGCAAGCGGGGATGGGAGGCAGCCCCGCCACTGACATCACCAGCTGCTTCCCTGTTCTGTGCGCACAAGGGCTCTGCATGTGAAGCTATACAGCGTACACTCGTGCGCTGCTTGTGCCCAGGCGCTCTGGTACGATGTTGTTGTGTCTTTGTGTTTGCTCACACTCACAGTTTCCAGCGTATCGGCACTGTCCTGTTTGCATTCCATGCAACAGCAGAGCTCCTCTCTCACCTGCACACCCTGCTCGGTCTCTGGCGACCAGCAGTTGCTGACAAGCTGTAAGCCTCGCTCACTGTTCTGCGCAGACTACAATTCGGAGTGTTAGACAAGCCGGATTATGTGGCATGGTGTGGGACACGCTGCAAACGATGATCCTTGCTGCTAAATGTTTAAAGGATCAGCAAGGTCCTGGGCTTGAGTCCTGGTGGATCTGGCATTTTTTCTCTTTTCAGCCAGTTCACTTCCCCGGCTGATTCTTGCCACTAAAGCTGTTGTTTATTAGTGCAGTGCAACACTGCAAAACAACACTGCAACTAGCAGCTAGCAGGCAAAGTACATGACATATTACATTATACATGACAATGATGTATGTGTATGTGTGTGTGTGTGTGGGGGGGGGGGGGGGTCGATTCACATGGCTTTGCCAGTTGTGTGGATTAGACAGTTATCTGGCGCTTGTCTTGATGTGCTTCAATCAGAATCAGATCCGCTATCGTTGCTATAAAGAGAAAATCTGTGGGTGCACATCCAGTGCATTTGTAGATTTGCGTGCTTCTCTTGCGACGGGCGTATGCATGGTACATGGTGTGTGTGTGTGTGTGTGTGTGTGTGTGTGTGTGTGTGTGTGTGTGTGTGTGTGTGTGTGTGTGTGTGTGTGTGTGTGCGCGTATCCGCACGTGTCCGCACGTGTATGCCTGTGTATGACTGCATGCGTGGCAGTGCTTTGTGTCTTTTGTACAGGACTGCATGCCTAAATGCCCTATTTGTTGTGCCTATTTTTCTGTCGTTGTTTGTGCATTTGTGGGTGTGTATGCGTGTGGGGTGTGCACATGTGTGTGTGGGTGCACATGTGTGTGTGGGTGCATGTCTGTGGGTGTGGGTGTGTATGCGTGTGGGGTGTGCACATGTGTGGGTGTGTATGCGTGTGGGGTGTGCACATGTGTGTCCATGTGTGTGGGTGGGGGTTCTCTGTATTAGGGTACCGTTCTGGACTCTAATCTTCAGTGTCGTTCGTATCTTCTCCGTTGCACTGGCTGTCATGGTGTTTGGGTAAGTGTAACATTGTCGTACCTACCTATGTACCCCTGTCGGTTTGTGTGTTCCCTCTCTTGCCTCTCTCTCTACCTATCTAACTGTCATCTATCTCCAGGGAGTTGGCTATTTCGACCTTGTTAGATCTCATTACCTGAGCTCAGAGTGACTGGGTTACATGTCTATACCTAGAATTATACTGTGCTTGAAGTAGGTACAGAACGTCAAGTTTCAAAAAACTGATTGAAGCTAACTAGAGGGATAACATAGATGCAGGGAAATCTGAAGGCAAGAAAACATAATATCTTCTTTTCCAGGACTGCAGGGGCACGATATCAGGTTCAGAAAATCTCTCTATCTATCTATCTATCTCTTCTGGCATTGTCATTGTCCATTCTCAGTGTTGGTATGGCCCGCGAGAAGGAGATGGACCTGACCCGTGGCAACTACAACACACTCACCGTCAGGTAGGTGCACTCAGTTTTTGATCTGTATGATAATACAATGTACTTTGGGTTTTTCGTCAGAGGGGTGTCCACCTTACTCTTCTTCGTTTCTGTTATCCCCGCACTTCATAGCTTGTACCAACTTCTTTCTATATCATCTCTGTGCTTGTTTTGAGAATGTATGAGTAGCAACTGATCATGTGTAAAAGGAGCAAGAGCAGTTGTCAGCTGACTAACATGTCCTTCGGAATATTCCATTCCCTTAGTCGTCTTGAATATGAATAAGTGTACGTTTACCTAACAGCTAGGAATGTTATGTGTTTGTTGCTTTGTGTGATGGTGGTATAACTCAGGATGATGATGGTGACTGGTATCATCTTGCTTCAACTGCTGCTCGCCTGGCAGTTTGTCACTGCACGCCTCTCCGCCATTCGCGAGCACCGCGAACGCAAGGAGATCCAGTCCAAGCTGGAGCGCCCCTCGGAGCGCCGTCAGCGGCAGCAGAAGGAGAAGAGGGATGCGGCGGCTGCCACTGCTGATGAAAATGACACTGCTGAGGGTGCTGACGTCGCTGCGGCGGATACCCCCAAGGATGTGCCGAGTCCTTCCAAGAAGGAAACTTCAACACGGAGACGAGCAGCTGCTGATGGAAAGAGCAAGCATTAGCTAGGAGCTTGTTGATGGCAATGTAAGTGAGACGGGTGGATGGATGGGAGCTCTCTCAACGTGAGTAGTGTCATTGCTACACTCAATCCTATTCCCTTCCCTTACTGTAGATTCTAATTGCTGGCAAGTGTATATTTTTTTGTCTTGTCGCCTCATCCACCGGTGAAGACCTATTATTTTCGTTAGGAAATTACCCCACGACACACTATGGCTGGACGGCATGCTGTGTTCGTGTCCTATAGATGGACGTATGGTCCCCCTTCTGGCAAGTGTGTGTGTGTGTGTGTGTGTGTGTGTGTGTGTGTGTGCGCGCGCGCGTGTGTGTGTGTATGTGTGCGCGTGTGTATGTGTGTGTATGTGTGCGCGCGTGTGTGTGTGTGTGTGTGTGTGTGTGTGTGTGTGTGTGTGTGTGTGTGTGTGTGTGTGTGTGTGACTACGACTGCCAAGCAATGGCAGTGCAGTGCAGGCTCTAGTGTAGGAGCAGGACCTGGCTTTATTACTGGCTCTACATGGGCTGCTGCTGCATGTGAAATATACCATTGTTGTGTTCTTTTGGTTTTTTCGTTCTGTATTTTTCATTCTAACTCGGGCGGGGCCGATTTTGTGGTTCCATTTTCATTTCATTTAGAACTCGTCTGCAAACATTTCTATTTGATGTGCCATGTGGGTGATGCCCACTTTGCACCCTTCTACTCTCTGATCTGTCAGGGACTGATTTATTATTTTGATCTTAACATCCTCCTCCTCCTCCTCCTCTCTCATGCCCCCCCCCCCCCTCCCCCTCTGTGCACAATTATGTTAGAGATTTTGTTCTGCTAGTGCATGATTCATGAAGTATATTATTACCCAGCAATCCAGATGCTAGCTGATGGATTGTGAATGATCATTGTGCATCAGTGCTTCGTAGCTAGGTATTCCCTGAAGACGAATCAACAGTTCTTCTTCCAGTACAGAGAGTGTTCTCCTGTTGTGTTGTGCCAGGGAGAGCCTGTAGTTGGCCAAGCTGTCCTGGTACGGCTGTGTGGTAGTGTCAGCCGGCGCACCTGCCAAACTTGCGTACTCGAATTGTGGACGAACGGTGCAGTGCTGCACATTACAGTACACCCCCCCTCACACACACTCACACACACACACACACACACACACACACACACACACACACACACACACACACACACACACACTACTACTACTACTACTACTGTCAAGAGTACATGAAAACCAGAGTGTGCAGCCCGGATGGGTTGCTGTCACGGCGGAATTCCGTGATTTACATCATTTTAGTGATGTAGTGCGTACCAGCAGGATTCAAGCAGGTCTCTTTCTGCCAACTACAGCTCAGTTGTACGCACTACGCCATTTCCCGCCTCAGATCTGCGCCAAATATGATGTAATCACGGAATTCCGCCGTGACAGACACCCATAGCAGAAAAAGCCCCATATGGAAATGAGCGACAGTATCCCCTTCACCGATTCAAAATTTACCCCAACACAAGATATGGTTGTATTCCAAAGCAAGCTACACACTCTGGTTTTCATGTACTCTTGCTACTATGTACAGCTACCCTATCGGGCCACACCGCTCCCAGAAGCGGGACACACACACACACCATGTACCATGTATACGCCCGTCGCAAGAGAAGCACGCAAATCTCCAAATTCACTAGATGTGCACCCAAAGATTTTCTCTTATAGCAACGATAGCGGACAAGATCTGAATGAGACAGATCAAGACTAGCGCCAGGTAACTGTCTAATCCACACAACCGGCAAAGCCATGTGAATCGACCACCAATGCACACCTGGTCTACACCACACGGAGTACATCAGCATAAAATGGCCAAGACAGTTACTGGTACCTATGCACATCCTACACTTGCTGGACAGCACGCTGCTTTGACAGAAGCAGACACTAGATGCACTGGTACCTTGAAGTGAAATTGGAGTTACTTTCCAACCAGCCTTTACTGAGTACTAGGAACCCAGAGCCAACAGACATACCAACAACCTCAACCATGAAAGCTATTATAGTAACGACACACTGGATCGTGGAGCCGAAACTAGTCCAACTCACACTCATACACACACAAACACTCACACACACATGCACACACACACACACACACACACACACACACACACACACACACACACACACACACACACACACACACACACACACACACACACAACGGGTGCAGAGTTACCAAAACAGCTGAACGCCGATAAAAACAAAACTGCAGGAAATGAGCAGGTAGTAGTGCAAGATAAAACAAGACTGTCTGAATTCCTGGTCAAGGGGAGTCACCAAAGGAAGGAAGGAACTGAAAAAATACTATCACAACTGTAGACAAGGATGTAAAACGGCCACCAAAAAACGGCTCTCCCATACTGTGAAAGCGCACACCAATGCTCTCTCAGAACTACTCAAAATACTCT